GGAATAGGAACAGAGACTGCATAGTAATATGTAATATAACCTAAATGAAAAGATTGCGCGAATTAGAACTACACCTTTTCATTGATCCAATTTGGTGCCAAAGTTTTTAATTTTCTTATCCAAAATCTTTTCCGAGTGAGTCTATCCTCCCTAGACCAAGCAGTGTTGTGGTTTATGATTGTAATGGTCAGTCGATTGAGATCTGCCTTAGTGTGGCCAGGGGATCCCAAATGTCAACTGACAGGAAGGTCTGGCTTGCATTCATAGTCGCTACGATGGCCATTCATTCGTTTGTGAAATGGTTGTTCTGACTCGCCAACATACTGTTTACCACATTTACACTGTAGGAGATACACAGCATTTATAGTCTTGCAATTAAATATGGTGTATTCCGTACTTGTGGAGTGACTGTTAAAAGTCTAGGTATTCAGTATTTGTTTGCAAGTCAGACATCGTTTGTTTCCGCATCCCTTGCAAGAGCCCAAAGAAGAAAAGACTGCATTAGAGGATAAATCAGCTCTTCCCAGCAAGTCTTTAAGGCTTTTGGGCCTACGGAAAGCCAGTACAGGTGGCTCTGGAAAGATCTTGGATAGTTTAGGATGTTTTTCGATTTCTTTCCAATTTTCGCGGATTAGGTGTGATAACTTGTCAAATTTGGGATGGTAAGTCAGCACAAACGGCACTCTCTTGTTGACCTTTTTGTCTTTATATTGTACATTTTCATCTCGGCTGATGGTGTTAGCACGAGAGAAACCTTCATCAATGTCTTTTCTTTTGTAGCCCCGATTTTCTAGGTGACCGCGAAGTTCTTGTAGTCGTCTTTTTGCAGTATCATCGGTGGAGCAAATCCGTTTAATTCGTATGGCCTGACTGTAGGGAATACTCTTGGTGCTATGTTTAGGATGACAACTAGCTACTGAGGTATCGTGGCACCAAATCGCCTTGCACTATGCCCGGTGCGCTAGACCACTCGACCACCTAGTCTCCATAAAAAAAGCTTTCGATGGCCGGGTGTTACATTTCCTCGTCAGTTTTTATCTAGCGTCGTAACACAGTACATGATACATAAGGCATGAAGATGGAATATTACAGATCAGCTGATTTATCTATAGTGGATCTTTCAAATTAATGTAGGATACAGTCACAGAAATAATTATATTATAAGTACGTCTGAACCAGTGACAGCTCTACGACAGATTTTATTCATCGGATCACCAGTGATAGTGATTTATATATATATATATATATACATAATTACCCTAAATATTAGCACAACAAAGTTAAATCTGCAAATTTGCGGAGGCAAATTTTTGTTCCTCGCTCGTCGGGATTCGAATTCATGCTATTGGGATATCGTGATAACACCGCCTGCATTGTGTCCACCGCTCTTTACCACTAGGCCACCTAGACTGAACTAAAAATTCAGCTTTTGGTGGCATAGTGTTACCTTTCCACGTCAGTATAATCTAGAGATGTATTGAGATCTCACAAAACATGTTTAACCCTGCCGCATTTTTGCGCCTGTCCCAAGTCAGGAGCCTCTGGCCTTTGTTAGTCTTGTTTTTTTTTTTAAATTTAGGTCATTTTTATGTTTTGGAGTTAAGTATGACGTCCATTTTCACTGAACTAGTACACATTTTTATTTAGTGGCCAGCTGAGGCCCACCTCCGGGTGCGGGATTTTCTCGCTGCAATGAATACCCATTGGTGGCCTTCAGTTGTTATCTGCTATTTGGTAGGGTTGTTGTCTCTTTGACATATTCCCCATTTCCATTCTCAATTTTATTGTAACACAGTATATGATATATTGGGCATAAAGATAGAATGTATTGCAGATTAGCTAAATTATCTGTCATAAAGGATGCATTCACTGAAATAATTATTTGATAAGTACGTCTAAACAAGTGACAACTATAACGTCTAGATATTAGTCAACGATCTTTCTTACGAGGGCGTTTGGTCGTTTCGAGTAAAGATACCTATACACAATAAATAAATTATATAAACGTCTAAAAAGTGTACGAAACATCACCAATATTAAAAAAAGGAAACATTTAATGTACGTATCTATAAATACTTAGGATAACAGATATCCTTCATCAGTATGATTATGATGTAAAATGATTCATATCAATCTATTCTGATTACTATAACAATCTTTAAATTTATGCAATTAAAACCGAACAACGCTTGTACAATTCTAAAATTTCAAAAATGACGCAGGTTAGGTATTTACAACAGAGAATGCATAGCTATGCTTTATTTTGTAAAAATATTTCCTTTCTGTATTGGAACTGTACACGTATACCTAACAACAGAATTTTTCATTTACCTGTGTTTAAAGTTATTGCAAATGGCTGATATTTTTTTTTTTTGCATATTGTTTTTCTTTAATTGTTTAACATTTCATACCGATATAACATGTTACTTTTATTATTCTTCCCTTAGTTTATTTATTTTGTATTTGCATTGTATCATAGGTCAAATTTATTTGTTCAGTGTATGTTCAATGGTGTTATTATGTCCTTTTATTGAGTTAAGCTATTTCAGTTGATATTTTATAGTGTGTCTCTCTATGTTGTGATGTTACACTATTTCAGAAAAAGGGTGAAGGTTTGGTACCATTAAAACGTTTAAACCCGCTGCATTTGTTTGCACCTGTCCTAAGTCGGGAATCTTATGTTCAGTAGTGGTCGTTTGTTGATGTGGTTCATAAGTGTTTCTCGTTTCTCGTTTTTTATATAGATTAGACCGTTGGTTTTCCCGTTTGAATGGTTTTACACTAGTAATTTTTGGGGCCCTTTATAGCTTACTGTTCGATGTGAGCCAAGGCTCCGTGTTGAAGACCGTACTGTGACCTATTATGGTTTACTTTTATAAATTTTGACTTGGATGGAGAGTTGTCTCATTGGCACTCATACCACATCTTCTTATATCTATTCTAACAAAAAATAAAAATATATGTATGTATATACAATAAGCCATGCAAAAAAATGGTGAAAAACATTATAAATTTGTTGTTATGTGTCATGAACATGTTCCCTAAAAAAAGTGAAATAACAAAAATACTGATTTCCAATCAAATTCAAAACGGAAAGTCCCTTATCAAATAGCAAAATAAAAAGCTCTACCCTCTTGATGCCCCTTTATTTAGATGGTTTCATTTCATGTGCTAGAAAATACGACAACTGAAAGTCGATGACGTCACGTTTTCAAGCATCTGAGATCACCCCCAGTTTTTGCTAGGTTTGTGTTGCTAAGTCTTTAGTTTTCTATGTTGTGTTTTGTGTGCTATTGTTTGTCTGTTGGTCTTTTCTTTTTAGTCATGACATTGTCAGTTTATTTTCGAGTTATGAGTTTGAATGTCCCTTTGGTATCTTTTCTCTTTTACAGACAAACATCTAAAGGATTGATGGACCATTTATTTAAATTTGAATTATTAAATCGTATTAAACGACAAACAAAAGAACTATGTAAATTGTACCTGCTTTGATACTATAACTGCCCTTGAATTTTTACTAGATAACATTTTTGTTTGCTATGGATATTCCGTATATCGTCAAATTATCGGAATTCCAATGGGGATTACTGTGCACCTCTTATTGCGGACCTTTTGTGTTGTTATGAGTTACAGTGTATGACTAAAATCAGCAAAGACCCATCGAAACTACATCTGATACAAAAATTTAATAACACTTTTAGATATTTGGATGATATATTGGCTCTCAATAATGACGACTTTAGTATGTACACTAAAGAGATTTATCCTGCCGAACTGACTTTAAATAAAGCTAATACTAACAATGAACAATGCCCTTTCCTGGATCGTGATATCTATATCTCTAAGCTGAATACTAAACTTGATGATAAAAGTTATGATTTTTCATTTCCTATTGTTAATTATCCATTTTTAGATGTTGACGTTCCCTTGTCACCATCTTATGGTGTTTATATATCTCAACTTGTTCGATTCGCTCGTTATGTAACAACGTATTTGATTTTAGCGAAAGAAATCTCTGTATTACTGAAAAATTATTACACCAGGGTTTTCACAAACTAGTCAAAACAGTTACTAAATTTTATCATCGGTACAAGGACATCATTCGTAAATATAAATCAACAAGCAGACATCTTATATACGTTCAGGTATTTCACATCCAATCTTTTATGGTATTAATCTTTACAAAGCGCAAAAATGTCGGCAGTCACCTCAAAAGCTAACCAAACCTTTAAACAAACTTATTCAGATGGGATATAGTTACGATACTGTTGTCAAGTCATTGAAGATGTCATATTTTGGTATTAATATTGATTCACTCATGAGGTTTTTGAATCGGAAATAAACACATTTATTCTAAAACCAGTTGTTGGCAAGATACGGGTTATGTTCTTCTCGTATATTTCATGATGGTATGATACTATTCCCCTAACGGGAGGGATTGTGCTTGATTTTCCTATGATGAAGTCATAATCTTTCAATCAGTTTAATTTAGGTCTGGAGCTGGCATATCAGTAACTGCTAGTAGTCCTTTGTTATTTAATGTATCATTGTCATTTTACTTAGTTTCTTTTGTTACCTATTCTGACATCGGACTCGGACTTCTTTTAAACTGAGTTTTACTGTACGATTTGCTGTGTGTTTCTTTATTCTACATTGGCTAGAGGTATAGGGGAGGGTTGAGATCTCACAAAATATGTTTAACCCCGCCGCATTTTTGCGCCTGGCCCAAGTCAGGAACCTCTGGCCTTTGTTAGTCTTGTATATTTTTTTAATTTAAGTTCATTTTTATGTTTTGGAGTTTAAAATGACGTCCATTTTCACTGAACTAGTACACATGTTTATTAAGGGGCCAACTGAGGCCCACCTCCGGGTGCGGGATTTTCTCGTTTCGTTGAAGACCCATTTCTGCTCTATGGTCGGGTTGTTGTCTCAGTGACATATTCCCCATTTCCATTTTCAATTTTAATATATTATTTTTCTTATTTATACTTACATTTCAGGAGCAATTATAATAGTGGCTGTTGGTACATGTGCGGTTATAATTGAGATAGTTGTAAGCTTTGTTATAATTCGTAAAAAAAACAGGGAGTTAGACACACTAGAAAAAGGTAATTATTTATGCACCGAACATTTTCATCCATTTGAGCCTTTAAATTTAGCGATGTATATTGATTTGACACAAAACGTCTCTCGTCATTGATTTTGAATTGTTTCATTAGAATGTTTACAGCAATAATTTTAATAAAATAACAAGCATAGGCCACAGAAAAGAATATCTTCAACAATCTGATTCAAATTAATAAAACACCTTTGTATTATTATTTTGAGGATTAAGTCGGAGAATAACAAAGGAAACGTCCTTAAATTCTATTTAATCGAATTGGTAGCTTATATTACTTTTTGGGGGCTGGGAGCATTTTCTGTTTTAATATAATGAAATTCCAGACATACAGGTTGTTTCGATATTAGATATCTTGAAACAAATATTATCAATATTAAACAATATTTTTTTATGAAAATTATGATTGGAACTTAAAATTAAGAAAGAATTCAAAAAAAGATATGCCTTGATTTTAGAAAATTGATCAACTATTTTTTTTTAAGAGAAAAGATGTTTTTTTTTATTCAAATTCATGGATTCTGCAATTATGAATTATAAAAGCAAACTTTATTATTACCTTTCTAGGAGAATTATGCAAAAGCTTATACTCATCATGCTTATAGTAATGTTGGTTTGGAAATATCTTGTGAATAACTTTGTGTTTTTTACTTCCAAAGATCTTGCACAAGGAAATTTTGTGTTGGAATAACTATTTTTCAAATAACAAAAGATCAGACATTTTGCATGATGAAACATTCATTATGTGTTTAGTTCATTGAAGCTCGGTAATAACTCTCTAGCGCACCACGATTTTTTGCATGACGTGAAAAAATACTTATTATTTGTAGAGGTGTTAGAAATTTATCAATTTCAGACATTCTTTTGCCATCAGGCTTTGTCAAAAATAGCACTTGCATAGTCTTCTATTGAATTCACAATATTCCATTGTTAAATTTGGGAATAAGAAATTCGTTTTGTTCTTTAGTGAATCTCGTTTTTGTTTACTACCTTCCTTCAATGCGTCCATCTGAAATATGTTGACAAAGCAAATAATGCTCTAGTTGAGACAATTTGTATGTGTTTACCTTATTTTATCAATATGGATGTGACTGCTTCAACTTTTCTCAAGCTGGAGTTCGCAGTTATCCATAGTTGAATGGTTCTGGCATCCCTCATAAAATAATAAGTAGATGTGATATGATTGTCAATGAGCCAACTCTCCACAAGTGACCAAATGACACAAAATTAACAACTATAGGTCACCGTACGGTCTTCAACAAAAAGCAAATATTAGCTATATAAGCTCCCGAAATAACAAATGAAAAACAATTCAAACGAGGAAACTAACGGCTTAATTTATGTACAAAATAATGAACGAAAACAAATATGTTAAACAGCAACAAACGACAACCACTGAATTACAGGTTCCTGACTTAGGACAGGCAAATGCAGAATGTGGCGGTGTTAAACTCATAAATTGAATGTAGAAAAAGATGATATGCAATGATATTATAAACAAACTGAACATCTTTTCTGTTTCAATATTTGTTTTTGGTCTAGTTACTCTGTGAGAGGTGACATCATATTCTGAAAGATCAACCACTTGGTTTTGTAAAGAAGGAAGATGCACACTAAAACCATCAGGCTTTTGAACTACGTTTCCTGAGAAAAATATGAACATTTTAATGCAAGATACTATTTCACGTTGATTCTGATTGGTTGACATCTGATATTTTTGGCAACTAATTGCTACTGTTTACAAGCAGATAACATTTCCTGTTTGAAAATGCGGCATGGTAGTTCCGCACTATCTTATTTCTAAGCTCATATAATCATTATATCATGAACTTAACCTTAATTAGGCATATTAAGTATGTTAAATAGTTCACTTTCATAATGAACATGTGTACTAAGTTTCAAGGTTTTCGATCCGGAGTTATTTGCCCAAAATATAAAAAAATAACTTGTTATGGGATAAAAACCGTTACCTAGCTAACCGTAATAGGTAGAAAAACTGAAAAGATTTAAAGGCTGCTTAGTAGGAATACAGTTTAGTCAGCCTTATATCTTGATATACGTTTGCATTTTCTTTCATAATGTCCTTAAAATAGGGGCGAGAGATACCAGAGGGACATTCAAACTCATAAATCGAAAAAAAACTGACAACGCCATGGAATTTGTTCAAGACCATACCCTGGTTCTTTGTTACATTTGGCCCGAAAACATTCAAAGACTTCGTGGTAGGGTTATGCCCTTTGAAATTTGTCGGTAGGTCACTATACTAGTTACTCAGAAACCGTAAGTCGTAGACACCTAGGATCGTCACCAACGATCATCTGACGACATGTGAAAAATATCTCAAGGTCAAAGTTTTAGGTTGACCTTTATCTTTGAAGTTATACCTTGTTATGGTATAATCTCAAAAACCATTAGTGGAACTTGTTTAGGACCTTACCCTGGTACTTCGTTACATTTTGATCGAAAAGATTCAAAGGCTGCTTAGTAGGAATGCAATTTAGTCTGCCTTATATCTTGATATACGTTTGCATTTTCTATCATAATGTCCTTAAAAGAGGGTTGCTTCTGACAAAGAAGCTATTAAACCATGAGTTTCAAGTGATAAAGTTGAAATCATCCCTTTGAAAAATTTAACGGGCGCCATTACGAGTTGGTTGACAGGTATGGAACATCTGTTTCACAGATGAAAACGGATATGTTTCAAAAAGTTGCAACCACAATCGCGTCCTCTTTTCCGCTAATGTGACTACCGATATAGACTTATCACCAGGTTTGTACTTACCTGAGCAACACGACGGATGCCACATGTGGAACAGGATCTGCTTACCCTTCCGGAGCACCTCAGCATAATCAGTTCGTTGCCGACTTATGAGTCTCATTATCCCTTTGGTGTCTTTCACCTCTCTTCTATACAATATCGAAACAGTATTAAAACATATCCTCAATCTGCAGTTTCAAGTGGTAAATTGCTGTTAATAAAAAAAAAGTAAATTAATCATGTCAAAAATTAAAATCGTCAATTTTGTAATAAAGCTTTAGGCGCGTGAAATATTGACCGTTTGAGTCTGAAATAATGATCATCGTATCTCATCTTAAATATTCACTGTTGAAATCAATGTGATTTTTTTTTAAATCAATGAGGAGAGAGTGTTTATGGTGTTTTAAAAATCTTTAATTTGATGAACTTGGATGGATACGGGGGGTCTGTTCCCAACATTTTTATCAAAAAATTCTCTTGTTTACGTCTGTACTGTATAGCTTAGTCATTTAAGAGGGGGGTTCGTTTGAAATTTACTTAAAATATTCATTATGGTTGGGTTGTTTAAATTTTTGTTTTTTTCATCAAAATCTCGACATACAAGTCGAATTTCACTATTATATATAATCTTCAAAACTATTACGTATCAACTAAGTTTCACGTGCTGCTACAAATCCAATTGTTTTAGCGACCAAACATAAAGTTATTATAAATGTATAAATAAGCATATAATAGAATTGAGGATTTTGTACAAACTTCCAGCTAAATGACCTTTAATGGTGAATTTATAAAAAAAAGTTCAAACTTTTACAATCTCTATCACGAGTAAGTTGAATGTTATAGACTATCTGTATCACAGATATCATTAATCGTACCAATCGTCATAACCATAAACCCGTCCTTTTTTCTCGATTGTGCCTGATTACTTAATTGTACTTACCATGAGCAGTATAACGGGTGCCCTTATTGGAGCAAGATCTGCTTTTCCTCCCGTAGCACATGTACATGCGATCACCCCAATTGCTCAGTCTTTAGTTTCTATTAAGTGTTTTGTGGGTTTTTTGTCGTCTTTTCTGTAATGTATTATCAGTTTATCTTTGTCTAATGAGTTTTGAATGTCCCCTTGGTATCTCCGGCCTTTTTTTGTTTTATTAAAATTAGAATCAAAAAAGAAAGTAAAGCTGCATATACCATTTAGTAAATACATATCAAAATCGGCCAGCAATATTATAAACCTAACACAGATATTGTACATAAAAAAGGTGTTAAATAAAAATAAGGAAATGTGGTATGGTTTCTAACTATCCACAAGTTAAAATGCAGTGAATGTACGTAATTATTTCCACCACGCGGTGTATAATTTATCCAAAACATTCAACGGTACAACGGTGATAGACCGTCGTTATGTATTTACAAACAAAAAGACTTCTTTTTCTTTCATTAAAACATTGCTTGTAAATTCTGTTAACTTTCTATCTTTTCTTTACAGCTAGACTGAATACAACTGCACTGTAAGTTGGTATATTAAACTTCTTATATATTCAATACTTACTATATCAGGTAAATAAAGGAAATATAAATTAGTCAATACATACAAAATACAATTGAGGCTACCTTAGCAGTAACCACTTTTAAGCGAAAAAGGCATTTTCTAACAAAACGCTTTTAACATCTTACATCATGTATCATCCAAACAAAAAGATGATCAATAGAAATATATCATAAAAGATCGTTAGAATGTATTTAGTTTTCGTGCCAGGATCCTCTTACAACTTTGGAAATATTGGTTGACATATTTGCCGTAGAAATTTTTAAGGGTTAAGGTCAGGGTTTGGGTTAGGGTTTTTGTGTTCTTGTCTTTCATTTTTGCATATGTACTTTGTCTAAAGAGTGTCTACATGCCATATTGTAGTTTTTTTTTATAGTGATTAAGATTATAACACAATGGTGATTGCTGTACCCCAATTTTTGCCTATTATGTCTGTTTGTTTTGCTCACCTCTTATTGTCAATATAAAGGAATTTGTATGCTACTGTCATACAAGGGAGAGGTTTAGCTAGCTATGAAACCAGGTTTAATCAGCTTAAAAAGTTTTAAGTCAGGAATATGACATTTGTTTTCCATTCGTTTGATCTGTTTGAGCTTTTGATTATGCCACTTGTTGGAGGTCGTTCCGTTTTGAATTTTTCTTGGAGTTCGGTATTATTGTAATCTGTCTTTTTTTTTAAATAATTGTTTAAAAAAGCTATTTTAGTTAATAAATGAACAATAATTACTTCTTTACCTTATTAACAGGCATTTTATTCTGGATGAACTATATGATTATGTAAACTTTTTTAAGGTTAACTAGTCAACTACAAAACATTTTTGTTGGCGTCTTTGTCAAATTTTTTATCAACTACAACGTTTTTGTTGGCGTCTTGGTTAGATTTATTTCTATGTTTGTTTGAATTTTTAATTCAGTTGTTTGGTATAATTGTGGTGTTTGTTTACCCAATCTTAGCTGCTGGATTCCAATTAGTGTCACATTAACCTATTATGTCTGTTTGCATTTTGTCAACATCACAGAACTATAAACAATCTATCTACAAGAGGGAGGTTTTAGTAGCTATAAAACCAGATTTAACACACCCTTTGTTTCGAAAATGTCTATAACAAGTCAGGAGTATGACAGTTATTTTCCATTCTGTCCGTTGGTTGATAACGTTTGATATTTTCCATTTTTGATTTACCTTGGAGTTCGGTAATTTTGTTTTACGTTTATACTGGTAAAAAAATGACGAGGAAGTTCATTACCTTGATTCTGTGATTGCTTATGTGTTTCTTATTGATTCTATTTTCAAATAAATATAACAGATAACATGTCAGAAACATACTCTTACGTCTTTTATTCATATGCTGGTATGTTTTTCGACAAACAATAGTAATGTTAGGTAGGCAAACTAATCAGAGAAAGGTACTCCAATGAATCTTCCTATCTCAAGCTAATAAAGTATTCGTAAATTACATATTATTAGCTGTTTCTTCATATTGTACTTTTAAAATATGGCACTTGATTGTATCCAAATACTACAGATTCTATAGTCTGTTCTTATCCAATACACGTACACTCCATATACCTCGTTAGAGCTATTGCGATTGATGTATAAAATAATGCTTTCTTATTTAAAAATAAATCTAATGCTTTACCCAATTGAATGTCTTATTACTGGTAATCGATTGATTTTTTTTTGTTTTAAATATAAAAATGAGGAAATATAGTATGATAGTCTATCCACGAAAGACAAAATGACGAGGACAAAAACAGCTAGAGGTCAACATACGGCCATCAACAAAAAGTAAAATAACAAAAATACCGAACTCCGAGGAATTTTAAACGGAAAATCCCTAAGCAAATGGTAAAATCAAAAGCTCGAACACATCAAACGAATGGATAACAAATGTCATATTCCTGATTTGGTACAAGAATTTTCTTATGTTGAAAATGGTGGATTAAACCTTTTTTTATAGCTAGCTAAACCTCTCACTTGTATGTCAGTCGCATAAAATTCCTTTATTATTGACAACGATGTGTAAACAAAACAAACAGACATAATAGGTAAAGATGTCAAAAATTGGGGTACAGCAGTCAACATTGTGTTATAATCTTAATCAATACAAAAACAAGCAAATATGTCAAATAAAGGCAACAGTATTATACCGGTTTTCAAAAGTCATAAATCGATTGAGAGAAAACAAATCCGGGTTACAAACTACAAACGGGAAACACATCAACCATAAGAGGAAAACAAAGGAACAACAGGAACACTGAATTGCAACAAAAAACAAACGCCAACATACAAAGAAACGAACTATTTGATAACAACTGCCGTATTCCTGACTTGGTACAGGACATTTTAAGAAAAAACAAAAAGACAAACAAAAAGGCATATACTAGTAGACATAGCACATTAGCAAAAACGAAAGATGAGAATACAAAAAAATACCATAGCAAAACAACAAAATGACATTATGTACAAGTACCGAACCACGTCAAATGAATCACTACAAAAACATGAAAATATGTCAACAAAGACAAAAACAAAAAGGCATATAGACAAAGCACATTAGAAAAACGAAAGTCAAGAATACAAAAATTTACCATAGCACAACAACACAATGACGGGATTTACAAGTGCCGAGCCACGCCAAATGGATACTGCCAAAAATAGGCTAAACAGTAAAAGTAATAAATTACAAAGACAAATAAAAGAATACTATAACACGTTTGAACTTTTTTAGAAAAGGGACGAGACAAAGAGCAAAATACATACCTTCTAGATAAGTATAAAAGATACTTCTAACTTTTAACATTTAATCATTATTGTTTTAATTCATTATCAGCAAACATCTTTGTTTAAAATAACCACATATTGATTTTGTTTTAAGGGCTACAGGAAGATGTACAGACGCACCGTCGCAAGAGGTTGAGGCCGTTGATCCCCCTAAAAGAAACCCAGAGATCAGTATATGAGAGCAATAGAATAAAATCATTACATACACAAAATTTGATGGGGTCAAGTCGGTTAATTATTTGGAGTTGAATTGATTTAACATCGTTTAAGTTAATACATTTTTTTATATATTTATATAGATTCAAATGAAACTTTTTTTTTCTGTACGTTTCTTCACCGGAAAAATTATCAAAATATATACGGCCAATTTCACCTAATTCTGTCTCACTTCAGAGCAATTTTCAAAAAATCTTCCATTCTTTACTTAAATTTACACCATAACTACTTTATTTGTGTGATTTGAATTTTAAACAACATTATGACGATGTTGAAATGTCTAATTATGTTTTTGAGCATTAACGTAAAAATTTATACGAATGATATTCTTAATCAAAATCAAAATTTTATCGGAAATAAATTGTCAGATCATTATTGTGTATTAATTCAACACTTTGATATTTAATTTCAGTACGCTTTTGCAACTATCGGATTGAATACTGCCAGTATAAGAAAGTTAAGGGAAATTGGCCCTACCTTCTAAAATAACTTTTTGACGTCAATAACCATAAAGGTTGCACAGTAGTATTTACGTTGCACTATCATTATCACAATGGCATATGAAATACAACCATGCAACCCTTAAAGTGGCTAGCTGAACCTGTTTAAGAACAGACAGCCTTTGAAATATGAATAACTTTGATAATATGTAAGTCAGTTGTATATACAACATGTAATTACAATTTTATTGAGCGAATCATTTCCATTGAATTCCAATCTAGCTGGTTAAATTTATTTTATCAATTTCTTGTATAGTATGCAAAACAATAAAGCATGTGAGCAATTCATAGATTTAAATTTGGAGCACCGACAATCTTAAGATATTAGAACAAAAATAAAAAGTACAAAACTTATAAAGTTATATTAGTCAAATAAATGGCCAATGATAGACAATTTACTCTTTTACAAGTCAAATGTATGTTCCTTTACTTCTACCAAATTATAGCTGTTTCACAAACCGCTTCTATGTAGAAGAATTATTTTATATTGTATTCAATGTTGTTAACTATTGGTTTGTTTACCATTAATTCCCAGGAACTTCTCTCATACTTCATTTGATAGAGAAACCACTTGGAAAGTTCAGAAATATAAATACAGTCCGATGATCAAACTATTCAAAGGTGTAGAACAAAATTTTAGTATCACCAAAGAAAAAAATAATTATAGGATTTAGTAGTTTTTTCATGGTTTATTATGTATGCAGTTTTTTTTTAGTTTTTTTTTTTAAGTGTTTTAGAAAAGCAAAATCTCATTGAAATTGTCAACCTTCGGTGTCAACTGCAATAACTATTGTTTGATATGATTTCATCAAACAGTGTCTAACCAGGATTCCAGGTTCCATTTACAGAAAATGAAAACTAAAGAAACATTTTTCTACTTGCAGAAAAGTGTAATGTGTTAGCTATTATCTCAGATGAAACAATTGTATGTGTTCATAAAACATATAACCTAATGAAGTACTTGTACCAGTTATCATATCAGTCACATATCATTTACCTCATTAAACAGAAACTCAATCAAAAAAAAAAGATTCTTTTCCTTGTTTTGGAAACAAGTCCTGAAACTGAAAGCGTAACATTTTTGAGAAGAAATTCGAAAAATTTAAAAATGAAAAAAGCACACTTGAAAATAATCCCGATTGTTAAACACAATCTCTTTTTCTTTTAATTGTATGATATTATATCAGTTCCTAACTTTTAGGCTACTTTGAGATAAGAGCTGTCGCAAATACCTGAAATGGAGTAGTCGTCTTTTTTACACCTAAGACAATTGTGGGAGCAAAAATTAGCTTTACTACTTTATAAAATACATTTCTCGTTATTTTTATTTTGCTTTGAGCTTAGTTTTTTTTTACTTATATACATTTTTATTTGTTTGATTCTTTTTGTATTGGTTTGTTGGGGCCAGGAGGGGCTTTCATTATCAATTTTGATGTCTCCATGTGCATTATTTCATATTTATGACTATTTAGGATATAACACATTATTCAAAATTATAAAATCTGAGATCAAGTTAATACATGTATATATATGTAGGACTCTGAACCGCGATGGTACTCCGAACCACGATGATCACGCTGAAGTGCCATGGTGGCATTGTGACGCTATCTTCTTGATAGCTACGCCGAAGTGCGATGGTGTTAACGCTGAAGTGCGATGGTCTAAACAAACTACATTTTCAATGCTCTTTATGTTAATGTAGATGTCAATTTGTATGTTAGAAGCAGTTTTCCGGGTTTTTAAGTTGATAAGGGGCTTATAAACGTTAAATACTACGAAAAACGGGGAGGATTGGTTGATAGGGGAAAGCTAACCTTTTGTAGCGATTTTTTTTTTCGATTTTACAAAAGGTTCCTTTTATGTACGATGGAGCGTGACATTCTCTTAATACATACGAGTCCGCAGACAGACTCTCCGTTATATATTATTACGGTAAACGAGGATCTCATGAGAGGAACAAAGTAAAGATAAAATGTTAATATAGAATTATGACCACATGTAGAAAATCAAAGAGGACGATTTCTCATTTAGTATGCAACTGTAATTAAGGACAGACATAGACAATAATGAATGTAGATTTATATACAAACTTTTTAAAAAATCTACATGTACTTCTCATAAAAATCTGAAGATTTTAAACTAGCCATCATGCGTCAGATAGACCATCGCACATCAGCGAACGGACCATCGCACTTCGGCGTAGACCATCGCACTTCAGCGTGACCATCGCACTTCAGCGTACCCATCGCACCTCCGAGTCCTACATATATATCCATAAAAATTTATAAACACATACATCATCATTTTCGTTTTTAAAAAAAAATGGGTTTTTTCAGTATTGATAATGTTAACTGTTTTTGTTTTTCTTATTCAGTATTGAAAAATGTTAACTTCGTTTATTGATTGTTCGGTGAGGTTTTATTGCAGGTCATTTCCTCTAAAAGACTAAAAATCGTTTTATGTTTATGAAAATTGTACGCTGCCTTCATATGTCTGTTTATACTTCTTAGTACATTTGATATATACGATTTTAATTCTTTTTATATTGGAACCAAAATTATCGGGAACATTTTCAATCTATAAAATCTGTTATTTTTGTTATGATTATTACCATTATAAATTACGAGAATTTCTATTGAAAACTAGATAGATAATAAATCTTGTAATTACATTACACTTGAAAATTAGGATTGGAATTCGAAATAATCTCTTGTAAATAATTTGTATTTTACTTTTTTTATATTTGCTAGTTCGTAAAAACAATTTTAATTTGTGGCTTATTTGCTGTTTATGTACATTTTATGATCAGCTCATTTTGTTTTAAAGCAAACAATGTTTACCTAATTTTAAAAATATATATCGTTTCGATTTGTTATTATGTTATAACCAAATAAAAATGTTCTTACGGCAAAATGTTCAATACTCTTTATATAAGGTGGTATGAAAAAAAATCAAAGCGTCACAAAAATTGTATTTCTCTATTTTGAGTATTCCTGTTATAATTCTTTACAAAACAAACTATAATTTAGAACCTCATCATACTGAAGAATATCATTTTTGTCAATAATTCATTGTAGTCAATATTATATATTAAAAAAATAACGAATTATGTTATAACCAAACGCATGATTTTTAATTTCAAATCTAAGAATATGTAAACAAAATATTCCTAAAAATTTCGGAAACTATTTCGTTGATTGAAATTTGGTGTTATTTTTGTACAACAAATTAAATTTTACATACAGAAAAAAAATACACTGATGTATATACAAAATTAAATCAAGTTTAAGATTTTAATTTTTAAAACTTAAAATGCAATATGTTACATTTCACCGGCTAGTCAACAAAAAAGCGTTTTCAATATGATTCATTTCCTTTTCATATTCCAAACACACATGAACAGAAACACATAGACTCTTACGATTCAATTAAAAAACTGTTAATGATATACAGTACAGTCAAATGCAGTTCCCAGTAAAAGTTTAAAGTTGATTTTTACAAATGCCTCTAAAATAACCTTTTATTTTTTTTTATGTTTTTGTTGAGTCTGCGAAGAAAATCTAGGAACCGAAACATAGCGATCTGCATTTCGTCGTCAAGTGCATCGTCAAAATTAAGGTCCAGTCTGTGATTTTTCATTCATCAAAAACTTTGTCAAACATTTATGAATTCTATTAAACTTGTACTAAAGTGTTTTTAATGATCCATAGACAGTATCCAGAACAAAATTTATTTAGAAAAAAAATCGTATTTTACTGATTAATGGACTCATTTTTTGGCAAAAATTTTTAGATACAGTTTGGGGTAAAACAAATTCATACATTGATTAGTTTTCAAACCTTCATAGAATATACGAAACTTTTGATAGAATTATTTTATGATTTAGAGATAATATGTAATCAAAATATCATACTATTTTTATTTTTCTGTATATACTGATAGATAAACATTTTTGTGGTTAACATTAACATACAGCCAGGAATTAAATATTTTAAACATTAATAACTTTGTTAACCCACCTTTGAATTATTTAAAACAGTTTGATTTTAATCTATTTTTGCGTATTTTACTGATAAATGGTTTTAGTTTTTGGCAGTCAGTATAACACTTTCATACTGACAGCAGCAATATCTGGCAAGGGATAGGGTTTCGCAGAACCCTTTAAAATGTTTTTAACAATTTTTAATGTAAGCTTTAATATTTCATCGCTATGATTTACTTCATATATTTTGTATCATTTTATGCATCAAGGTTTTTTGTTTTAAGAAAAGGCGTTGGGACAGAAAAACTCAAAATTGAATGTGTATCTTTTAAATTTTGCTATCGCCTATATTGGTCATGTAGAACTCTCTTTTTCTGAATTAGTATACTAATAAAGTTTTGTAAGGAATTTATCGAACTGTAAACTCGGCCAACGCTCACAAACTGAATACAATCCGAAGTATGTGTGTTAAGTTTGCGATTGAAAGACCGAGTTTATACTTCAATACACGCCGTAAAAATAACCATTAACATGTTTAATACTAAAATTTTAATGAAATGCACTAAACATTATGTCAAGATCCAAAATTTCCTCCACACTTACAGAACTTATTCAGCTGTGTAGGAATTCACATTCGTGACGTGAGACCCTGGTTATATAACATGAATAATTCTTTTAATAGCTTTGCCGCACGTTAATTAACAAAATTGACAAGACATAAATTTGGAATTATAAAACAAATTGCCTCGTGGCCAACAAACAATTTATTTCAGTTGTGTAAGGTATTCCGAGTTTTATCCATGAAGATTACAGTTGTTCTTGCATGCGCTCGATTATTCCGGTTAGCAACTGTACATTTTGGTTTCTTCATTTGACCTTAACAGAACCTCGGGAAACATTAATGATATTTGAAAGAGTGCAGTTGATAATTTACACATATTTATCAATTATTGTAATTTCAATATATTGTTTCCCCTTTTCAGGATATATATGGACCTAGTCAATTTACGTACACAAAGTTTTCGGTCATCCATAGGTCAATATATTTTGTCTTTTGAAGTCCGTTATATTTTTCTATTTTTTCTAAATAAAATTCTATTCATTAAAAAAATGATTAAGCATTAAAGACATTTTTGTTCATTTTATAACTTGCATCAACCTTAGTAATAATTCATAGTTAACTTTGTTATGTTTGTATTTTATTAACTCTATTGTTGAGTTGTTTTGTCCCAAACCTTTATTAGTCCTATTGTTTAAAACATATTGCATAGCTTTTGTTGACTTGGATACCTATGTATTCAGTGATGCATTCATTATTAGCTTAAACCAAACGTATTATACCAAGTTGTATTAAGGATGTTCGCTACTCTGTTTCAAAATAAAAAGCTTTTTTAAAAAACTGTAAAAGTTCCAATAGTTTATAAATAATAGAATTAAAAAAGTAAAAAGAAATGAAGGGCCCGTGTCCTTGTTTTCGAGATTGAAAATTGAATATTTTGGCGGGAATTGATTCTCTCTTGATTTTTGCATACATTTTACATTGGCAACTTGCTTCTTTCAAAAACTACATAAAAATAACAAAGATTTTATAAGATTTTCAAATATGACTTTTTAAAATATAAGTAATAAAATTAAGAAAAGAAACGTAGGGGTAAGCATACAAAATTTGTAATGGCACTACATGGATAAAACCAGAGGATATATCAGACAAAGAGTCAAAAACAAGAGGAGAAAACATCCTTAATCTTCAGAAAAACGTTAATGACAAAGGTTATGGTTTAGGCACCGTTATAATGGTTTGCGTTTTGTTCCGTTGAACTCATGTGGTTTTATTAATTTAAGGGGAGTCGATCCATTTTCACTCTGTATTGTCATTTAAGTGATTCTGAGAAATGTTGAAAATCGAGATAGGTTCTTTGAAAAAAAAATCACAAAAAAAACATATGTTTCCTTTCTTCATTTCGAGAAAAATAAGGTTCAAAATTGTAAATGCTTGTTAAATTGTTGATTTTTTTTTACTTTTAAGATTTATAAAATTGTATTTTTAGTTTATTACTAAAAATACAATTTATTTAACCAAACTTCATTTTTCTAAAAAAAAATGGGATTAGTAGTAGCGAAAATTAAAAAATACATGTTTAACTTAGCAGTATTTTTTCATTTCAAAACTTGAGTGGAATTTCGTATTTAGGCCAAAATAAGTTAAATTTGCCAACCTATATAGAGGAGTTGACAAGTTTTTTTATATTATAGCTTTTTGACATATTTACATTAATCGATTTTTGAAATGAATCTTTAAACAAATACGCGTAAACAGCATGCGTAACCGTGTGTGTTTTAGAGAATACTTTAATAATTGTCCTTAAAAAGTATCTTTCCTCTATTGTCACCTCAAATTTGCGGGAAATTCACTTTCCAGAGTTCAAAAAGTTTAAAGACATCTCCCGCCAAATTCTTAATGCAGAGAGAAATAAGTAAAGATGATTGTTGAAATAAATATTTCGTTTTGTCTGTTTTCTTTAAAAACCACAGAAACAAAACCAATGAAAACGAGACGTTGATTATCGAGTTGATAATTGTGTCGACTCCCTTTTTTACATTTGTACATTGTTTAAGCATGCAGATTTTTATTTTATTTTATGCTTTTTGTATTATGCTGTTATGAATTTTGCTTCATGCCAAATAAAAAATATTTTGCTATCTCGATTGCCTTTATTGTTTAAAATATTATTCAACAAACAAACAGAAAGGCAACAAAAAGAACACATTTGCTTACTTGTCTGTTGTAACCAGAAACCAAATTACCAACCATTTTTCAGGCTAATTGGTACCCCCTGAGGGAAACACTACTTGCATCTACTAGTATTTTTTTGACACTAAAAGGATAAGATGAGCCAAATTTGTCAGAAATAATGTTTTGAATGTTGCTTTCCTTAAAAACGTCATTCCATTCCCATCAGAGAAACACAAGTGGTCATAATGTCACTGTTGTTCAGTAGTTGTCGTTTGTTGGTGTGGTTCATACGGGTTTCTCGTTTCTCGTTTTTTATATAGATTAGACCGTTGGTTCTCCTGTTTGAATGGTTTTACACTAGTCATTTTGGGGGCTTTTATAGCTTGCTGTTCGGTGTGAGCAAAGGCTCCGTGTTGAAGGCCGTACTTTGACCTATAATTGATAACTTTTTACACATTGTGACTTGGATGGAGAGTTGTCTCATTGGCACTCATACCACATCTGCTTATTTCTATAGGGTAATTCTGATTCTGATTGTCAATTGTGACATCTCTTTTCTTCAGAAACCTCATATGTAAAACAGTATAAGAATAATTTATTGATCGTTTGTAAAACTTTTTATTTGTGTTGATTGGATGACAAGTAATGCGACAATTTTGTCACAAAGATCCCATTGTACCCTATTGTAAAACACATGTTTACCTTTATCTCTGAGAAACAGCACGTAGGTTAACCTAAACTGAACTAACTAACCTCAATGAAGAAATTAAAGTCTTTTATTGAAAATGATATTGGAGTAAACGGGCGGAAAAATTATTTTATATGATGTTTATTAAAAGAACTTATATAAAAATAAAAAGATGTGGTCTGATTACCAATGAGACAACCTCCAACAAAATCACATAGAAGTTAACAACTACAGGTCATCGTACGTTATTCAACAATGAGCAAAACCCATACCGCATTTAGTCGGCTATAAAAGGACCCGAAATGACAAATGTAAAATTATTCAAACGAGAAAACTAACGGTATGGTTTTAAATTTATGGTTTTGCGATTGTTTGTGCTGTATTTCTGTCACGTAGTGTTGTCATTTTAGCGATATTTTTTAAAAATTGCCATATAAGCGGGAGGTTTGGCTAGCCATAAAACCAGGTTCAACCCACCATTTTTCTTAAAATGTCCTGTACCAAGGCAGCAATATGGCAGTTGTTATCAAATAGTTCGTTTCTATGTATGTTGTCGTTTGTTTTTGTTGCACTTCCGTGTTTCTGTTGTTCCGTTGTTTTCTTCTTATAGTTGATGTGTTTCCCTCGGTTTTAGTTTGTAACCCGGATTTGTTTTTCCTCAATCGATTTATGACTTTTGAACAGCGGTATACTACTGTTGCCTTTATTTATGTGAAAAACAATGACCGAAAAATAAAGATAATATACAGCAACAAGCGACAACCACTGAATACTTTACCATTAATATTTCGACTTCTGTCATACAAACATACCTTCATTTCCGTGTTAAGAAAAACGTTAAGCTCTAACTACTTCATAGGAAGACTTCGGTGTATTGGGAAATATCATGTTCAAATGGTTGATAGATTTTGATAGGCTACCATGAGATTTTATGTTTAAGGCATGTCCTAGATAATTTTATAATAAATGTTATAAATTAAAGGACCACCTCGGTGATCTCGTGGTAGCGTGCTCGTTCCTTGAATGCGGGAGGTCGTGGGTTCTATCCCCACCAGGGTTAAACCAAAGACTTTAAAATTGATATATACAGCTTTCAGCTACGCATGCGGCATGAAGGAGTAAGAGCAAAGACTGGACGTCTCGGAATCAGAATATTGACGTTCCTGCGCACTGTAATGTTGTAAAATAGCACGTTAAAAATCTAGCTGAGTTAGTTGATCTAGTACAAAATTAAGGCAACAGTAGTTTACCAATGAACACATCTCATAAATCGATTAAGAAGACAAATCAAGGTAACATACAAAAAACAGAGAAATTGCAAGAACTCTAAAAGAAGACCGGGTGCTTCCACATGGTACGCATCTTCTGCTATGCACTCATCACCCGCCATGCGAATCCACAATCATCTGCATCTAAAGTTCTCTGTAATATATGTGATGTAAGCATTCACTTAAATGTAGGTTGTTGAGTGTCAGGACATAGCAATATAGTAATATTAGGATTTAAAAGTTATATAAAAAAACGTTGCAATTTTCATTTAATAATTGGTTTTCTATGAGAATGTTGAGTAAGAATTCTGTTTCATATCAGTACAAAACAAGTCGGCCAGTAGGGTTGCACAATTAGTACACATTGCAGTACCGTCTGGTTATTGAAATATCAATCCATGAAAGTCAAAAAATATGTTGTCGATGAACAGTCCAGCATTTTGATGAATTAGTGCTCGGTGTATTTGGGTTTTTTAAATTAGTGCGGTTTGTGAAGATTTTTCGTGACCCATTACAAGAAATTTATACGATTCCCTTTATCCTAGAAAACGCTCTGTATTATGAGATGAACATTCTTTTTTTAATTGAGCATGGAGAATAGTGGTGTAAAGCGTAAACAAATTAAATATTTTATATCATGCAAAATTGTGATTGTGAATAACGATTTTGCAGCAGATCTTTTGAATTTTCAGAATCTACATCTGATTGACACCGCTGGTTGAAAATTATCACAATATTTCAAAAGAAATATTTTACTGTAGAAATAATGGTGGTAAGAACTTAAGAAAGATGTTAATTCAAACATCTTGACAACCCGGCTATATCCAGTATATAGATGGAATTTTCATTGTGCTTTTTATGTTAATACCAATGAACAGTAGGACGGATTTGTGATGTTCTTAAACCTCCCTTTTCGCGAATGATGATGGGGTATATGTGTGATTTCGAGTTTTTTAGTTTGACATTCCAAATAAAGATGTTTTTCATATGAAAAACAATATTGTTAGAGGCTTGTCTGCTAAAACTACAACATAATAGTCGTGGAAAGAGGATAAAGCATCCACAACCTCGGGTTTCTTGAAAGGGTAAGAAGCCAGTGTGCTCATTCTACGTCGTAGTTTTAAAATGCGTTTCTGAATGCATGACCGAACAGCTTTGATCCATTCAGGTAAATCTGGCGTGCACTTTGTCCATGTTCTGGCATAGAACTTTACAGTGTGCATCAGTTAACTGAATTACTTCTTCCAGTTTATGGACGTGGAAATCGACATTTCGGGTTTTTGGCTAACAACTCTCTTATTTGTTAGTTGTTTACGATACCAAGGTCTCCAGTAATAACATGACCAGCGTGACTTTATTTGTTTATAGACAATGAACCAAATCAATCGGTAAGTTTGGATTAACATCCTAAAGGTTAAAGGTCTCTAATACTTTCATATGAAGTTATATGAAATGACACGGATAGTCTTTATAGTCAGGATAGTCAGGATCTGCTTACCCTTCCGGAGCACCTGAGATCACCCCCAGTTTTTGGTGGGGTTCGTGTTGCTTAGTCTTTAGTTTTCTATGTTGTGTCATCTGTACTATTATTTGTCTGTTTGTCTTTTTATTTTTGGCCATGACGTTGTCAGTTTGTTTTCGATCTATGAGTTTGACTGTCCCTCTGGTATCTTTCGTCCCTCTTTTTCTTTAAATAGTATTGTTTTCTGCACAGATTTTTGGTGGTAAATATGACTAACGTTGATAGCTTCTAAACCATTTGTAGCAGATTCTGTATTAAAAACTAGAAGAAAAAACCAATCTTTACTGATCAGAATTTAGATTAATAGCGGCCTATATAAATAAACAATATAAAATAAGTGTTTTGGGCCTCTTTATATAGTGGGTTGAACTTTGATAATGATATGGAACACAGTTAAGTTGGAATATATTGAACTCACAACGCTTTTTTTTAACAGAAGATAACAAAACATCCGTAGACACGGTGTGAACTGCAAGTGGTGTATATTTTTTTTCGATGACCGTGTCTCCTATTGTGTCGAACAGAACAAGCAGAAGTATTAAATATTCTAATTTGTTAATATCACTACACTTAGAAATAGACAAAATACCTTCACTATCAATGGTGTCGCTGTAACCATAAGGAATAGCTGTTCCAAATTCTGGAATCGAGAAATTTTCTGCTTGTAAGCGTTACTGTGTACTCAGTATGGGGTCATTTGTTAAATGATACATTTCTCTATAAACCTGACTTTCATAAAACAATCGAGTGGTCAGCTGGCTGGTTGAAGTGTTTATAGAGAAATTTAATGTTATCAGGATCAGTATTGTTAAACCGTTGATCATTCGTTCTTTCGTTAAGTCTTTGCCGTGTTTCACAGATATAGATCAGTCCATAAAGAGTTATTGCGATACCCTATACAACATTAGAAGCAGCACAATACAGATCCTCGTGACTACGTGCATTGTAACATTTGTTGGTCAAGTTAAATTGGAAACAGGTATCAGTAATGAGTAGACCACAGGTTTTACATTTTCTTAAATTATGTTTAGAAATGAAAAAAATGTTGCCATTGAAATATGATATATCTGAAAGTTGTTCAAATACAGGTTCTAGTTTTGTAGTACAAAGAAGAATCTAAAGACTGAATACAGGTCGTTTTAAGAAAGTCGTTTAAGACGATTCTAGGGACACCTGTATCATTCAGAATTGTTGTGCCCTTGACAAGATCCGATTGATACCTTTTTATCCTGGGCAACGTGTCATCCAGTTTATTGGTTCTTTTTCTACAATTCACCATGCAGTTAAGCTACCGGGGCTGGAAGAATTATCAAGGACAGTACTGCCACCAGCAAACATTCCGATCTGGTAGTGATAAATTAAAATAACAACGTAGGGTATCACATTAACATGTTTTCGTCCATCATCATCCTCCTCCTTCTCGTCGTCATCATCATCGTCATCGTCGTCATCATCATCGTCATCATCATCATCGTCGTCGTCGTCATCGTCG